TCAGATATTGTATGTAGGACTACGCAGAGTAAGATATGAGGTAAAGTGAGAGTAGGTGCCACAAAAACAGTTACAGGGAAAACAGATCTATTACTTTGCATAGATTATGAATCATAAAATCATAGAATGCTTAGGGTTGGAAAGGATCTTAAGATCATCTAGTTCCAACGCTCTCATCTAGTTCCATCCCTACGAAGATGGAGCACTTGCTAATTACCCAGAGAAAATTCTGAAATTCTTTTATTGTGGGGAGCCTGAAGTCTATGCTAAGGCATCTTTTCTCTTTTTACTGCAGATCTATAAGTGCAGGTTGGTCTCTACTAAGAAACAAGATTCTTGAAGGTAGCAAGCAAGCATGGATCCAAGTTCACTTCTGCTCCTCCTGGTATGAAGTGCTAATAACAAATCAAAGAGTGGGGCAGATAGCTGTGGGGGGAAATAACATCTTAATCTACTACTTCTGCTTGTTCAGAGCACTTAAAGCAGAGCCCAAATTCTGGTCTTTCAATACCACAGGAATTTATGCCTCCAGAAAATGGAAATGGATTGCCACTTCATAACTGCTCACAGGAAAAAAGGGATTTTTGGCATGACTGACCATGTCACACTTCCCTGGTCTGCGATTTCATTGATGGATTCAGGCGCAAGGTAGCCAAGTATTTGTATCTTGTATAACACTTACTTGGCAGCCTTTTGACAGGTCTCCTCAGCCCAGCTGGAAGAGCATGCATTCAGCTGGGCCCCTGGAACAGGCAGTGATGATTACTGGTGAGTGTGAGAGGCCGGTGCTTGCCTGCAGGGCTGGCAATCCTGTAAGTCTCCTTCCCTGACCTGTTGGCAACTAGAAGCAGCAGCGTATCACCTACAGCAAGGCCTTAAGAGCACTGCTGCAGTCTCTCAAGAACTTGTTACCGCAATAAAGAGTTGATGGATGTAGGCAGGACAAAGGAGAGTGCTAGCAAATTCCTTAATTGATGAACATTGATCTCACGTAAACCAGGAATGCTCCAGCTTCTGCATGTTTGCTGACAACTCTGTGCTCATCAAGCTCCTGCTTAGTCTTGGCTTCTCTCCCACCTACTCCACCCATAGCTGACAAGTTTTGTGTAGCTGTATAATCTAATCCCTCTAATGTATGAGTCAGGGCACTGCTTATTAAAAAAAAGGTGTGTGGTCATACAGAGAAGTCTAGGTACAAGAGAGTGGTAAGGTGGTGCTGAGAACAAGACAGGAATAATTATCAAGCTACAGTGCTGTGTAAACACGGAGGTAATGGCTCCTTCCCAAACAAGTTCAACATAGTCAAATAACTCAGTAGAAGTAACGAAGTCTCAAGTGATCAATGACAACTGGACCAGGACCATCTAGTTCGAAGGAAGGCTAACGGCACTTTAAAACGTAACTTATTCAAGTGTTGAGTTAGAAAACTGGAAACCAGGATATTACTGCCCTTTCTATTTCAGGCATGTTAACTAATGAATGGAGAAAGTAACAGGTTGCTTAACTGGGTGCATACTAAAAAAAGCCAACTGTAACCCAGAACATTTACTGTTAAATTATGAGCCCATGAAAATCCAAGTTTATAAGAACAAAGTTGTTTATAGACTCGAAATAACAGCATCCATCACTTTAATGCTGTAACTCCAAATTAAGACAGTGCAGATGGGCATAATTTTCCATTCTTAATATGAGACATAACACCATGTGTCCTTAATATAAATGCAACATACACATTCAGCTAGACCGTTTGTTTATTCTTACATTTCATATTCAAACCTAAGTCATTATCAAAGAAAAAGTGAGCAAATAGAAATGCAGTAAAGATGATGATGATACAAAAATCAGTCATTTAACATAACCTAACTTCTTGTTTTTGGGATCTAAAAAGAATGACAAGTTTTCTCTATTAATGGTTTCAGTTAATCCTGTACCCAAACATTTTCCCCAGTAAACATCAGATTATTTTTATGTTGGCTATAAAGCTGTCACTCCTCAATAAACAGATATGCTCCTGGTGGGTTCACCTCTGTTGTCAAAGATCTGTCAGTTCATGCATCATCTCATAAATGAAACCAGAGAACCTCTGATGCATGGCTCCTAGCAAATCCAGCTGAGCAGAGCTTGCTCACCACCGAAAGATTCACGCTGCTGCAGCCCCTGTGCAATTGGCAACAACTGGATGCTCCAAACACAAGTTCACAAAAGCCAAGCTGATACTCCTGCCTCGCTTTAACAGAAAGCTCTGTGACCTTTAATGCTCTGCTCAACTGAACCTTCCTTTAGTGAGTCTCAATTAAATTTTATGTTTTGTGGCTCCCATTTTCTTGTTAGACAAGAAAAGAGTTCAAGGAATGGATCTTTCTTTGAAGAATTTAATTCCCTGTGGAGAAAGTTTATTTCCATCTGAAGAGCCACTCAAAGTTTGGGGAAGGGTGGTTTTTTTTTCCCTGTTTTTTTTTTTTTTTTTGGTAGGTTTTTTTTTTTTTGGTTAAGAAATTTGTAATGAATTTTTTAAAAATTTGTAAAGATAAAGGAGTCTTCAGATTCTTTGAAAAGGACAGTGTTCTGATAGTGGTTACACTGGAAATATTTCCTCTGTCCATTTTATTATAATGAACAGAAAATCAGAGGGACAGTTAAAGAAATCCTGGCCATTTTTTGTGATGAGGAAGCTTTCCATAAAATCATCTGATTGCTACTGTTACACTGTCATAATGTAAAACTGGTTAATTTTCAGTAAAAGACATTGCAGCAAATGAAACATTAGCATATGTATCTGTAAAAATAAGTCCTTCCCAGGCTGATTCTGCATACTTAACCTCAACATAACAAGGTCAAAAAGTTAAGGCATTAGGAAGTGTCTTGTCTGAGCTGGGCTCTGACATTTTAGCTCATCATAGTTGCTGCTATCGGAAATGCAAATACAAATGAGCATAAGCACTATTCCCAAACATAAACATTTTCAGGAGCAGATCATCAGTAACATTTCTTTTCCCACTGTGTTCCTTTATTTAATTACTTTTGTAGTCATCATAAAATCACATATGCCAGTAAGGAATTCTGAGTGCTAGAGAGAGCTGCTGAGAGCCTTTTACAGTCAGTGTACACTGAATTAGATGTTTCAGAACATCAGTCTGAAAATGCCACACACTAATGGGGTTATTTTATATTGCCAACATGAAATAAATATGGGGCATGAATAAATTTCTTACTTTTCTCACAGATTTATACACCTGAACCTGAACACCTCATAAATTGTTGTTTCCTTGTTAACAAAATGTGAAGCCTTTTCTTTGTGCTCTCTTCTGTATATTTTTTTGGTCACTCACGGATGCGGTTATCAGGATTCAAGGTTTCCATTAACTAAAATACTTCACAGTCATCTCTCTCACTGCCCTCACAAGTGTCATTATCACCATGCTTCAGAAACCAGACAACTTGCGCAGATGGGAATGCAAGACTCATGCAGTCAAACAGGTTTTTCAGGATTAGGGTTTTTTTTTTTAATTTTTAGATGAAATATAAGATTATACTGTATCTGAGATTCTTTGTCTCCTTTCTCCCTAGTGCTTACCATCGATGACTGTTTAAACATTACCGTCTGCCTCTGTCTAACATCCTGGGGAAAACTAAGCATTCATAGAACTTGTTTTTTGTTTAGTTCAAACTCTTTTTGCCACAGGCAAGTAAAACTCTGTATTAGCTCTAGCCTGGAAGAAATTTAGTTTAACCCACTGCTAAATTTTGACTTAAATCTATAATAATTTCATGCAATCATATTTTCTGGTTTACAGAGTCGTGTCTTGATATAAATATAAAAAAAAATTATGTTTATACCAGTGAGCTTGGATAAGATACATGGCATTTTCATGCTCACTGACATAAATATTGAAACTAATTCTGCATTTAAAGATAAATTGCCATGATTGTAATGTTAATACTTTCCTTCCGTAAAAATAGTTTTCTTTTGAAAAGCAATGAAAATTGACATATACTCATCTTTGAAAACACTAAAAGCTACTTCAGCATTTCAAAACACACAGTTCTGTATCTACATACTGATGCAGAGTAGCTTAGCTAAACTCACTGCAAGAAACAAAACAGATCTAGTTCTTAATTTTTACCGCTCGTCTAACCTCTATTTTTTTGGGACAGCTTGTGAACACAAGAAGTCTGTGCCTCACTGCACCTATGCTGTCTCCAAAAGTGGTATCTATGCCACTATATATAAGAACATTTTCATTCTGATGAATATATAGATAAAAAATGGGTTGCTATTATATTTACAAAGTCCTCATGGAAAGCCTGCCAGCTGCTCAAAACTGAGATCTACTAATTAGAGTTACCTTGATTAAAGCCTAGCTCCCAAAGAGCTCCTGTGGATAACAGGCTTAACTTTAAGCATATGATCAGTCCCATTACATTCAATGTCTTTAACTGGGCTGACTGGTCATAAAATTAAGCATGCATTTAAATGCCTTTGTGGATCAGAACCTAAGTCTCTTACAGGAGCTCAGGCTTAGAACACTGGTACCTTCTGAAGCCAGTATGATTCAGGTGACTAAAGACCATAAATCCTTTCCCGTATTCTGTCAGACTGAAAAGCTGTGGAATTCATTACAGCTTGGAAACCAGTACTTCACCGAACTGGTGATAGCTCAGGCTAAGCCAGTTCAGAAAACCAGGACAAGATACAAAAGCCTAGATACTGCACTACGCTGCCTCAGCCATCCTGCTGCCAGAACTGAAGCAGTGTTTGCCCCAGCTCTACGGAGCTGTGCCTCCTGGTTTTTAAGCATATCCTAATAGTAAAATTTGGTATTGTGAGTATAAGTAATGCTAAGACTTTTCAAATTGTGCTCGTTATGTAAGACAACATGTTTGCCAAATTCTGGCAATTGCAAAAATGGGGTGGAAAATAAAGAGGATCTAATGTCTGGAAAACGGGTGATGAAAAAAGGTCACATAAAACTGACAACTTTAAAAACATATACTCTTACCCTTCTCGTTGGAAAATAGTCCTAAAACAGTCCCCCAGGCTCTTGTAACCGGTTGGATCAGTTTTCCCTCTTTGAATTTGGAACCTAAAAAAAATACAATTTGCATCACAGCATGAGAAGTCAGCGATTTTAAGTCACTTTTAACTTTCCAATTATTATATAAAAGGGATTTTAAAGGGTTTGTTTTTATGTATCTGATTCATTATTATATACTGTTCCTGATATACTTATTAACACTGTTTTCATAAAGCTGCTAAACTAAGGAAAAAAGAGCTTTGGTAGTAACTTTTTTTTTGTAGTTTATGGAACTCACAGTATAGCTATCACCTTTGACATTTACACCTCTTTCTAGTTGTTTGAAAAATAAGCTGTTAACCCTGTGCCTGATCCAAAGCCCATTGAAACTAATGGGAGCCTTTGAGTCAAACCCTGTTTTTGGAAATCTGAAATGGATACTATCATGTGTTTCACTATGAAATGAATCCACTGTGCAGTTTACTTTTTTTTTTAATATCTGACACAATTACAATAAAAATCAGCCAGAGACATGACCAGAAATTAAAGCACCATTCATTTTTCATAATTTAATAATAAGATGAACAATACAAGCAAGCAATGAGTTATTTTAATTAAAACCTTGTTTTCTCTATTCACATTTTGACAACAATAAATATTTCAACAGGAAGCTTGTGGCCTTGAAAGGAAAATCAAAATTATGATTTAAGATTGTTTTATTTATGATTTATTTATTGATTTTATTTATGATTTATGGATAGCAACAGTAGTTTTACAGACTACATTTATTTCATGAAGTATTTCAGTTAGATTACCCTATTTCTTGCAGTTTCAAAATTGCTGCCAACACATTAAACTAAATAGCATGGAGAAATTTTGAATACATTTTAGCAATAAAACTTCTTCTTGAACCGCTAATTACTATATAACACTTAAAAAAAGAGGAAGAATATTGATGTTAGCAATTCCAGTCTACACTTAGCCCAGTATCAGGCACCCACTAAGTTGGCTTTATCACCAAGTACAATACTAATCCTGCAAAACACAATGTTCAACAGTTTCAAGGATAACTGTCATTATAGTCAAGTATGTCAGATACCACAGATACATTGTTGTTCTGAGAAACACCTATTATTGCTTATTTTAATCATGCTACTAAGTCTCATTAATATGTAACAAATTAAGGTATTTTTAACTCAGTGTTAAACAGAAACGTTCTCTTCTCAACAGAATTCAGGAAGGTCAAATCAAGGTTTGTTCTGTGACAAAAGGCATTCATTGTTTTGAACAATTGTTTTGAGTATTTCCTAATCAGGGTTCTGTGCTAACCCATACATTTTACTCTCTTTGAGAAAAAAACTTCCAGTGATGTAATACAATTCTTCAGGCAATTATGAAGGCAAGCCCACACCATTTTTGAAAACAGTTAGAAGGAAACACTGAGCCTCTCCATAGTCCTAATAAAAGTAGTTCAGGCACATCTGGGATCGCTATCTGGGGTAACCTCTTTTATTAGCACAAGAACTTGCTGCCAAGTTGGCAGAGAGAAGAATGCGGCTCAATAGGCTTACACTCAAATAAGAGCTGATGCATAACATTTTGTCTGAAAAGAACCCTTGGGAAGGCTAATAGTTGAAAAAATTGCCTCAATGCCATCACATAAAATCCAACGGTAATATCAGCTACAGAAGCTTTTAGATTGTGGCAATCAAGCAATCAAAATTATAACAGAAAGTAGATTCTGTGTACATTTTAATATATTTAAGACTTGATTATTTATACGTCTCAGTTCCAAACCCAAAATGTCTTTCTTTTGCTTAAACAAGTGTTGGAAACACTCGCCAGTAAATAACTTCTTCCAAGTATTTAAAAAAATAAAGCTTTCTTAACCCAAACTTTCCCCCCCAGGTTTCAAGATTTGGCCCTCTTGTAAACTCTGAATAAAGCACCACTGTTTATAAAACATCCTCTGAATAATGCACCTTCCCTCTCTTTCACCCTGCAAATGCTCAAGCATGTCCTACTAGCATGTGTATAAGGTTCCTCACTAAGTTGTTCTTGCAGAACTGTTTGCAGAACTGGGACTTTAATCTCAGACTCACTGTGGATCTCAACAACATGGTGAACATGCTGATACAATTTTGTTTTACAGTTAACACAGTGTTGACTTTTCAATGAAATGTATATGAATTAATAAAAATATATCTTTGATAGCAATAGTAAAAATCATAGCAGAAGAAATGCAGTATGAATTTACGTGTATCAGATGAAGGATAACTTCTTGCTAAAGAAGTTAAAGTTTTATGTTTAGTTCAGTTTTTTGTTTTAGTAGATAAGACCTTAGTATTAAATGAGTCCATTTGTAAACTGGGTCACACAAATAACATACTCCTTCCTTTAGGGTTTTTGGATCCATTTTTCCCTAGTAAATCTTTTTTATAGCTTTAATAGCAATCCTGAAATACATGCCAATTATGTGCTTCAACCTAGATCTGCGAATTGGGTTCTTTGATTCAGAATTGCTTGCCTCAATAAAATCATGTGTAACTTTTTAATGAACTAGCTAATTGATCACCAGCACTTGTTATAAGAAGCTCAGAGAAGAGCTGAAAAAAATGTTTGTTTTTCTGGAGACAGCAGCAACCTGTATTAGTAATCTTAAAAATATAGAAGAGTGAAAACATTCACTTCAAAAACAACCTGGACTGTTTTTAATGATTGTTTAGAGGAATGAACACAACTGGGGGATACATAATGGCTTTTTCTGCCTCAAATCCGTTCCATTCTAAAAGCATTATAAAAATCATTGAATTTCATGCATTTTTGAAAGCTGGATGCCTGCCTTGTATGTTATTAGCTTTGTTAGAACAAAAAAGATATTCTCCTAAAAGTAAAATTGAAGCATTAACTTCTGACCTAATTCACAATTTTGAAGTCTGCATCAAGAATGTGCAGGTAATGTTCAGAAACACTCTAAACGGACATATGGGTAGAGAGGCTTTTTCAGGACTGAGATGAATGACCTGCTATTAGCTACTAGCATATAACAGGTGCCAGAAAATCACTGACAGAAGACACTCCAACATGTTATGTGTTTACCAAGAGGTTTATCACTCTAAAATTATCTCCAGGCTGACTTTCCTCCTCTCTCGTTTTCCTGCTTTTTGGCTTTCTGGCCAAAATGTGGTACTGAGCACTGTCTCCCTGGGAATGCTCACAGAGTTGTTCACTTAGGGCCCCAGGTTACCCCTTCCTACCTAGGACTACCCCACCTACTGCCTGTTCTCTCAGTTCTTCCTCACCATCCCCAGCTCCAGCTCCCATGCCTTTGAGGACCTCACAGTCTCCCTTTCTGGCTCATAGCAGCAGCCCGCAGGGCTTGATCTTTGATGCCACCTTTGGCTGAACAGTACCTTTGCAGTAGCTTTATCTAATACAAAAGTGTCCTGATGCTGTTTAAGAAGAGAACATCAGTGTCCTCCCCAGAAGACACATGGCTGGAATCCTAAAAAAGTGGAAATCATGTAAACAATTTGAGGTTTTGGGGTCTGTCCAAAAGTCAGTATCTTCATTGAAAACCCTGCATGATCTAAACCCAGGAAAATATTTTAACTTGTCCACACAAATCAGCACTACAAGTACTACTTGTGAAATAAATAAATTATTCTTATTTTGACAGCATGAGAGAGTGCATTTTTGGTTTTGGTTGTAACAGTCCTTGATCAATAACTTTCAATGGGCTCTGCCTGTCATCCTGCAATACAGATGACGTCCAACAATATAGAAGATGCTGGAGTCCTCTCATCAGTTCTCCAAGCCACTTACCTTTTAAGAAGGGATACATCATATTGTGGAGCAATGACTCTACATAAGCATATGTATCTGTTTCCAATACCTAACTTTAGAGTTCTTGTTGGTTTCATAATAGCCAGTACTTTATTCAGAGTTTTACAAAGTCCTCAGTCCACAAGATGCTTTCCTCCACCTCTTCCTATTGCAAGAGTCCTCTAAGTATGCTTTTCTAATACAATCAATATCTACAGGAGAACAAGCACATGCATGTGCTTTCTGGGGGGAAAATACCAAATTCTCTCTCCCTCTATCAGTTGCTACATTTTTTGCTTATGCTTGCTGAACATTTCATCAAAGTTGTCCTGTGGATGTCTGCCACTACAGCATTCAGGTATGTAGTGTTTAAAGTTGGTTCACCACAACGAGCCTAGCAATCCTCCCCCTTGTATTTACTGATCTGGACAGAAGGAAGATTTCCAGCACATGCTGAAATTGTTTTAGTAATCTTAAAACCTAAAAGGAAGAAACCAGTATTTTCATATGTATGTTCAAGTAGATAGTGAGCAGTAAAATATCCAGCTATGTAGGACAACCACAATGTGATGTGGCACAGACTAGGCTCACCAAATTCTTGCCACTGGGTTTGCAAAGACTATATGCCCTCATGAGCAAATTCCAGAATTTCTTGCTGCTTTTACCAGTGCTGCTGACTAGTTCCTCAACCACAAAATTCAGAGGGAAAGAAAAACACTGACTCAGAGACCCAGGCTTTATACCATGTTGCAGTGCTTGCCAACGAGTGGCAATCTTAGCTGTATTCTCCTTTTCTTCACGTTTTACTAGGATTTTATCGTATGTTCTACTTTGAATAAAGCTCCTAATATTTCACTCCATGACTGGGACTTCAGCAATACCAAAGTAAATAATCTCAGGTACTGAGTTGTGTAGATGCTATAAAGAAGAGAATTATGTGGTATAAAACCAAAACAAATTATCTGTGCAGTGTTAATTTTAAAACAACTTTTATATACACGTACAGGCTTTGGAAAACTGAAACCAACATTTATAGCCTTTTTTTACACTTTCAGTAATTCCCATGATTCCAGACACTCCTAGCTGTAGATACAGCATAGGTTGATAAAAAATGTATAGTCTGAAACTTTACATAAATACACATAATTTAACAATTCACATACTTACAATAAAAATTATAATTTAAAAAGATTTTGATTTGCTAACTCAAACATTTATTCAGGTGTTACTACTATCCACTGATA